CATACAATAGCCTATTACATTATGTGAAAAAATATTATTACATTGAAACATTTTTATTACAAGTATGAGCTCAAGATTTTATTACGTTTCGAGAAAATTATTACATTATGAACATTTTATTACAATAATAATATAATATGTATTACATTGTGCAGTTTTTACATTATGTGCAGTTATTACATTATGAGTTGCTACAAGTGTTCAAAAACGTTGCATTCAGTTCGCACTTAAGTATATTCTTTTACAGTATTCTATTTCTGTAATAAGTGCTCTTTTTAAAAGCATGCTAATGTGCACTTTTCACAAGGGGAATAGCACCGTTTGACAACAACCCCCCAATCTTCAAATGGCATTTAAGACTTTTATCTATTCTGTTTGTTTAGAAAAATTAATTTGACAGTTTTGATGTTTTAATGAATTAAGGTGAGATGAAAAACATGATCTATCCCTTAGCATTTTCAATTATCCCAATGGTGGTTCTGCAGATGGCACATGACCAAGATATATAGCTAAACTTTAATGGCTGTCAATAAAAAAATATGCTTTTTCAAGGCCAGATGGTGTAGTTACAGCATACAGAGGAGGCCAAGCTACACAAGCACTGCTCATTTACACGGCTGAAACATGTATGACTATTGCCACGTTTCACTACGGTGCGGGAGCGCGGAGCGAAGGAACAAGGAGACGAGACGATGGACTTGACATCGGATCGCCCGGCGGGCTTGACAGAGGAACAGCCGGCGGGCCGGCAGGTCGCGTAGGTGAGCGGGTCGTGGCTCAGGCGATGAACATTGCTCTTTCCTCCATGTCGGCGGGGATAAACGAATAGGAAAACAAAACACTTTTCAAAAAACGAAAAACAAACACGGGGAGAAGGGGCGCTGCTTACTGTCACGGTCCGGTATTCTGTCACGTTTCACTACCGCGGGAACGCAGAGCGAAGGAACGAGGAGACGAGGAGTACATCAACGAGGAGATTTTAACTATAACCAGGGAACCAGGAAAACACACGTAGCAGATGAGGTAGACATTAACAGACATTCACAATACCGGACGCTGAACTGATAACATGGAACACTATATATATACACAAATGACATGACGATGGAATGACGAGACACACCTGGGATCAATAAAACAATAAACATAATTAGAACAGGAACAGGAAGAACCAAATAAGGGCATGGTAACACATGGGGAGCAAAACACACACAAAACACGGAACAGAGTCTGACAAATATAATGACAGCCAGAAATACACAATGGGTTTTAATGCTGTTTTCAAACCTCTAAAGTGGAGCTGTATGCGAGTGTAAAAGTCTCAAGGTAACTTTAAAAATAATAACAGGGATGCGTTGTGAATATTATAAAAGCAAGCAATCTCCATAAACATCTGTGAATCAAATACATTTCTACTGTATTTCCTCCATGAAATGTTTTTCCATCAAATGGTGAGAAATGGCTGTCAGATATCGACTATAAAAACCAGAACAAACACATCTGAAGAAATCCTGAAATATTCTTCTGCCAGGCCAATAAAGTAGTAAAGCCAATGAATATATGATGAGCTGAATTATTCTGAATTCATTTCAGTTCAAGGTGTTCTGAACTGACAGCTCATCTGTACTTGAAAAAAGTTGAGATTCTTTTATCTGAGGGGAGAGTTTTATGCTGCGTACATTTAATATGCATGTCGAGATGTGTAATACCATGTTTGGCATGGACACATTTAGGACACATGACAGGATGTGTCCTGAATGACAGGATGTCCTAATTATTTAATATCACACACACTCATTAAGTCTCTGAGATGAGTCGCGCTGGTGAGCTTTCCTATATGTGAAATCATAAATTGAATGTGTGAAACACAGTCTTTTGTGTGCCTGTGCCATAAACCACTGAGATTATTTCCAGAAAGAGAAGGAGAGAGGAGGAGGTAGAGTCGTGTGATTCAAATCTGCAATTGGATTTTTTTTTTTTGTATCTTTTCAGGGATCTAAAGTGGTTAAAGTGGCTGCAGATTGGGGTTGTCACAATACCAAGATTTCAATAGTTGATACTAATATCAGAGCAATTTCACATTACTCAGTATCAGTTTCAATACCACAATGATATTCTAAGCACTTATAGTTGGGCCATAAACTGCTTTCATTTGGTCGGGATATTTCCTAAACAGTGGCATTATTTATGAGCTTTACTTATTTTGCAAATTGTAGAATTAGTAGATCCAATTACGTGAATTAGTTTTGATTGTTTTAATGTATAATTTTTCAATGTGTGATTTTTTTGTTTCAATTTGTATTAAACATTTTTACAACAAATACACTACTTTTAAATAAATACACATTTATTTTAAAATGTGTTCAAATCGATAACAATTATTTGAAATGTTAATAATATTTCACAATTGGTGTTTTTGCTGTGTTATTGTCACAACCTTTGTCAACATAATACATTTATTTTTAAAATCCTTAAAAACTCTTAACTGTCCCAAACTTTTGAGTGCTTGTGTATATGATGGTAAATATTGCTGTGCATTATTGTTGTTCTAATTGTGCACGCAAATGAAAATGACTAGATATCGTTTTTCCTTGATTTTTTGTGAGAAACGTGAAAAACATTCACCGATAATTTGAACTAGATGCTGTACAGTGCTTTGGTTCTTTAAAGATGAAACATTTTTAATCCACTTGGCAGTAACTGTTTGATTGAAACGATGGTTTCACTAATTACTAAAAAAAAAAAAAATATCACTAGCTATATCACTTAGCTATATCACTCATCCTTAAAAATCAACTAATTAAAAAAAGTAATTAAAACAATGACATGAAGCCTTCAAGTATTTATTGATGAAGTAAACACATAATTATTCAAATAAATAGTTAAACATGAAATACATGCTGAGCAGTGAGTGATTTTCTCTTTTTGGTCAATATTGTTGTTTGTTTGATTATTATATTCATACCATAACAGACAGCATTAGGTCTATCAGGCTGCATTTATACAGTGTACCAATCTGATATTTTGACACAAATCTGATTTGTTTTCATACCGCATTTTTACATTCACTGAAGACAAACCGAGTGTGTTTACACCAATACCTTGCCAAGACGAGAAATTAACAAAGAAATGCATCTGACAGCTTACAAGTGCAGGTGCATTACCGTGAGGCGCAGCCGCTCTTTACAGTGCACACATACAAATACACATGTGAGTGCTCACCTGCAGCTGCCTGTCAGTCACACATTAAATTGAGTTGGCACTTGTACTACTGATATTTTATTTTATTTTTTGTACTTGGTACCAAAATATGAGTACTTTTGGCATCCCTACTGCTCAGTGGTGTAGTCGGGGCCATACACATTTATACACCATATTTGCTCAGGGCTGTTTGTGTATTATGACTTCAAAGGATCAATATTTGCATATACCCTAGGTGTACCCACTTGTTTTGTTGCTTGGCAAGTCCATAATCTACTGTAATGTTAGCTTCCCCTTTAACTGTGTCCCATGAAAATCATGATTCTATGTTCTAATTTGTGCATTATCACGTCTATCAGTCTACCTTTTCCCGCCAATCAACAACTGAGTGCATGTGTGAACTGTACTGAGAAAAAATTCCACTCAGTGCCACTCAGTGTTTTAAGTGGCACTGAGCGTGGTTCTATCAGTGCAGTGGACACTTATTTCCTTAAAATAAGTAGGCTATAGTCCTATAGATAGTATAGTAGGGCTGTCATGATTCCTCGATTAAATTCGAGTACTCGATTATAAAAAATCCTCAAATGTATTTTGCCTGTGTCCATTAACTGGCAAAATACCGGAAATGGTGCATTCCACGAACGAGAATCCATGAAAAGCATTATCAGAAGGTTTTCTAAAGCTGCGTGAAATATTAAAACCATTTAAAAAATCATAATAAAGCATAGTGCTATTGTGAATTCACAAAGGCTGCGATTCAATTAAACAAATATATATGTGTTGCCGGTTTAATATGCGCTTTATTTATATGCGTGTAGGTTACGTGCATCTCAGAGCAGCTTCGTTCACAGTAAATGCTGCTCCACACAAACAGTTATCATTTACATGCGTGGCACCATCTCAAAGTCCATATTTGCATATGCTGTGAGTCTGAATTGCTTATAACGTTCATCTGGGAATTTATAAGGTAAATAATTTATAAACCTACACCAACACAGGAAAATAGATCAGTATCTTTCTAAATACGCTAATGGTTCATCGCGACTTAATAAAAGTATAAACCCTCGCTCTGAGTTTGCATGTTTTGATGTCCACATGTTCATTTTCAAGAAATGACAGTGGCTGTAGCATTTCTATCAAGTATTATACATTAAATGGACATTTGAATTAAAGGTTGTTCACTCAATATTAAAAAAAGCATTAGATCGCGCAGTAAAATGTAAAAACAATTTTCAGGCTGTTGGCGCCCTCTGCAGGCATTTGCTATAATACATAATGTCCATAAGTTATGATTATATTGTTTTATTGTTCAATAAAACCATATGATTTCTTGCTGTTGATATTTTAACTAATTTTAAACAATTATCATTTCCTCATTGCTAGTATAAGTATTTTAAGTCATTTAAAATCTGTTGTTTGCTTAGGTCTATTTTTATCACCAAAAAATTATCCGATTTTTCGATTAATCGGCAGAATAATCGACCGATTACCCGATTACCGAAATAATCGTTAGTGACAGCCCTATAGTATAGTCCTTAAAATAAAGTGTTACCTGGTTTTCTTATTACTACCTGTGTATTTTGGTGATTATCAGAGTATTATAACGGTACAAAAGCACAATATTTTTTTTTTGCTTTGGTAGGTTGGTATATTAACATTACACTCTATAAGTTAATAAAATATACTGTAAATTTAGTTCAATCTGTAAAACCTAAAATGTTCCTACTGTATTTTTTTCCACTGCTGCCAGTTTTATATTGCAATTTTTTTGTTTACAGTGTGGGAAATGTCATTTTTACCAGCTGCTGGCCTCGCGGTCCCCATCCTGCATACTGCAGATGAGCGTTTCGCACTTCTGGAGGGTTCAGAATCCACGTTTCCCTGTAAAAGAGAAGCAAAGCCATTACTAATCAACTAGTTGGATACTGCATGACAACTAGACTAGTTGACCATACTGACCCAGACAGACAGACTGGCAAATAGTCAAACATTCATGTCTTCAGAGGGCTAACAGCGCACACTTCCTCTATGTGGTGCAGTGGAGCGTGTGCCAACAGATATTGATTCCATCACGGTGTACTACGCAGCCCAACACAACAGCACGGCGAATAAAGCACCATGAGGGAATTCCTGCGGCAGGAAATCTAACAGTGATAGTATATCCCAGTGCGCTGTTAAATCCGGCCGGGGCAGCGGCCCAGCGCTGTGTCAGCATCTGTTCCGTCTGACAGAGCTCATAAATATAGATGCTTTATTCTGCTGCCGTGTGCAATGGCTCTGTGCACTGCAGGCCCAAAAATTACAGGTGACACGAGCTGTACGTCTCTGTGCTAATCACGGGACAGACAGGCTGGGAATTCGTTGGTAGGACCACAGGATAGCAGTATGGAAAGATTCAGTTCTCTGAATGGCTTCGACATGTGACGTGAGCAGCGAAATGCTGCATCGATGTTTTCCTTGGTTTATAATGACAAATGGACTTTGTAAACTAATGCGACTGTTATACGAGCTCAGCGACTTACGGAGTTTCCAGACTGCAAATGATGTAGTCCGCAGTGAAGGAGTGCTCGTAAACCTGAGAGTTTGAACAACACAGAGACAAACAAAGACAGAGAGAGAAATTAAATTGTGGAAGAACAGCAGTTACTGCCACTACAAGCACCAAAAGCTTTATTAGCAATAACGTTTGCGAGGCGATGCATTACAGTGACATAGCTGAGTTTAAGGGTGATTTTAGCCACAATGTGAAGAGGACAGATATTTTACCATGGTATAGTCACAGTAACACACCACCTCAAATGGCTTTTTGGATTTTAAAACAAAAGCAAAATGTAAAAGACACCAATGTTTAATAAATAATACATTTAGTATAATTACAGTAAAAAGCAAAAATACAGTAAAAATACAGTAAATTTTCACATGCTGTAAATAAATAAATAAATAAAATAAATAAATAGAGAGAAGTATTCAAATCATTAGGTCTGAATTGCATTTAATTCTAAAATGCGGATCTATTACCTGATTAAAAAAAATGTGATTCGGACATAATGACCTGAATATCTATCTATCTATCTATCTATCTATCTATCTATCTATCTATCTAATCAAATCAAATCAACCAACCAACCAATCAATCAATCACACTTAGCGGATTATTTTGTATTCAAAATAACTTCCAAAAGAGAAATCAATTTGTGCTGCTAAATCAACAATATTTGTAATATACAATGGCAGGTTTATTAGACAAGTAGATTAGAAAGCATAGGAAAAGGATCAACACAGAGAAAGTGCTTATTATTATTTCCGTATATGAAATGTATTAAAATATTGAAACTTTATTTTTTTGACATTACAAGGCTAGTTTAAGTTGCAAAATGTTATGATATCCCCCCCCGCCATAAATATTGTAATTAATAGTTTACAGTAATTTGCAATAAATTAATGTTTTTTAAATTATGTATATTAATATTTTATGATTAAAAAAAAACTTCTCACCTTGAAAAATATATTGAAATATTTGTAGCATTCATCTGGTTATTTACATATAGTATTTGAAAATAAGGATTCATTCATTAATAATGAATATTACTTTTTGAATGATGGTTACACAACATGACATACTAACAATTTAAGTTAGCAAAACTTTATTTATTTATGTATTTATGTTTACTTGTAATATAAAACTATTTATTTATATTTTATTTTTTAAACATTTATTTTTATTTTTTAAATAACAAATATAAAGGCTAGATTTTGTAACTATTTTTAAAATAAATAAATAAATAAATACTAAACAACTCTACAGTACATTAGCCTTTCTGTAGGCTGCATCTTAGTGCATTAATATAGAATTCAACTAATGTGTGGTCACAGGTGTTCTTCAAATATGACACGTACAATCAGATTTCAGAGGCAGAACTGACTCATTTCATAAAATCCTAATCCATCGTTTCTGAAGAAGGCAGGAGCGCTGCTGTATCACTCAGAGGACAGTGTCAACAGCTTTCCATGAGCCAGAGGGCTGACCGCAGCATATGCTCACAGCTGACATGAGCTTGACATGTGTGCTGTAGCGGAGCTGTTAATACTGTCAAAGATTAACATTCAACACCTGTACTCAGCACCTCCCTCTGTCTTACAGATGCAGAGAGATGGAGAGCTCCTTTGTGAAGGGCAAGCAGCACCATGACAGAGTTTGAGAATGAGGGGCGTTATGAACGTGTGTGTGTGTGTGTGTGTGTGTGTGCGTGCGTAAGCATAGGCAATGACAGCTGGGGGACGAGGTTGTCATCCATCAAGGTGATGTTGGGACGGGCACTGAATAACAAACTAGAGGCAGTGCTCACACTCTTTTCTTTGGCTCACTCTTTCTTGTCATGTGTGTGTGAAGTGCTCTGGTGTCACTGTCCCAGCGCTCATGACACCTTCTCCTCCGTCTCTTCAGCTCTGTACGACAGCTGCCCTGATAAAACTAACTCGTCACCTGCGGTGTCCGACTCTAGCGTCTTTCAGAGTTTGTGCTTTCATCATTTCTTTGCACACTAAAGCTTTAGGTGCAGTCTGTATGAAGACAGTCAGGTTTGTTTGGTTAATGTGGAAGATGTTTCCTGAAATGAGGTGTGCAGTAAGGAACCGACTCTGTGTTAGGCTGGATATTGTGGTTTGGGTTACTGTCCAACACAAAAAGAAAAGAAAAGAAAAGATTAAACTGAAAAATAACAATTAATGCCAACAAAATGGTCAGAATATATATATAAATGAATATATAAATGGTTACTTCAGTACTTCAGTAGTTCAGTAACATGATATCTTTGACACTGATAATGTAAAGTGTATCCGGAAACTATTCACAGCGCTTCAGTTTTTCCACATTTTGTTTTGTTACAGCCTTATTCCAAAATGGATTAAATGCTTTATTTTCTTCCAAATTCTACAAACAATACCCCACAATGACAACATGAACGAAGTTTGTTTGAAATCTTTGAAAGTTTATAAAAAAAAAAAAACACATGTACACAAGTATTCACAGCCTTTGCTTCATAGTTTTCAACTATGAATTTTCCATCTGAATTGGATAAGGGTCATTTAGTTAACCTGCAGCGCAATAGTTGAAATACAACTGATGATCTACTTTAGAACTGAAGAAATTTCCTTTACATTTTAACTTTACATTTCAATTTCAAAGTCTGGAAATCACACTTTAAAATTCCGTGTTATGTCCAGGCTTTCTATTACTGTGGGAGTTCTGGTTTTTGGTGCCGTCTCCTATTGAATTGTTACCTAGCTAGCAACACCTGCGGCTAATTCTTACAATCATGCAGACACTCTGTGGTTCGGAGCCATACTGTATAACACAATATGAAAAGAGATGGGGGTGAGGGTGGAATAGAAGCCGAGTTCAGACCAACCAATCAAACCAAGTGTGAAAACAGCCTCTGTCCTCCTCTCTCTCGACTAGCAGGTGTGTGTGTGTGTGTGTGTGTGTGTGAGATTGCTAGGTTCCTGTCACTCCAGCGGGGTGTATTTTTTGTTCTGGTAAGGCGGTGGAGTGTGACAGCCCTTTCACATTGTGCCATGATTACTTTCATCTCAACACACACATACAACACCCAAATAAACACAGGCCTCACCAGCTGCACGTTGTAGGCCAGCAGAACGAGTTTCATATCTGGGGAAACCTCATATTTGCTGGCTTTGTACATTTCCTGGAAAAAAAAAAAAAAGAGAAAAGGTCAATTAGACTTTATAGAAAGCATAGTTTCATTACCATATTCCTTAAACGGCTGTGACAGATCGTGGGGAGAGCGTGGCATTAATCAGAGCTGCCACTCTTTGATTCTCAACAAACATCATGTTCTGTGTCCTTGCCTCCACTGTTTTGCATCCCACCAGCCCCACTTTAACGATCTGAAGCTGTTAACAAGTTACACAGAACAGTGCACTAATGATGGATGCGTTCAGCTCTATTAATAACAATAGCTCCTGTGATGTGCTGTATGACGGTGGAGTAATTTATACTGTAGCGCATGCTGATGCATGACTCTACTTGCATGTGCTTAAGGCACAATGAGACATTCACAACGCCTTTATCTTTCATAATGTGACAAATTCATGAGGAAATAATATAAGGTGGGAGTTGATTGTATCTATCACCTTTGATTGGACTATTGTGTTTTGTTTGTTTTTTGATGCACTTTCTGATCACTATGAAATTGTATATTGTACAGTAGATGTGCTATTGGCAAGTGTATTGAATGTTTAAATGAAGCATATGATTTAATCCATATTAAACCATAATGATTTAAAATGTACTTTAAAGTGAAACCATAACTTGGCATTATTACAAAAACACGTTAAGAAACAGTCCTGAAAGTGTACTCTTAAGAGCACAGTGCATTTCATTAATATTATATTATCTGCAAGTACAGTTGTTGTTTTATATATATATATACTTTTGAGATTTGAAGCACACTACAAAAGTGCATATTCAATATGATTAAGTGCACTTCTTTTCACAAGAACGGCTCAATGTCAGGGACATTGTTATAAATACATTTTGGAAGCTATATTATACATTTCTATATGTGTAAAATGCCTCTAATGAGGAAGAATGACTTGCACCTTAAATGTTACATGTATGGTATTATACTTTTTAATATTATTTCCCCCACATGCAAAAGTTATTTAAGAGTTACATTTTGAAAATAAATAATTGTGTAGAATATGGTGACCCCAAAAATATCTTAACTTAAAAATGTATAAACAACATATCAAAACAAGTGTCATTTATTCTAAAGAATAAAGCACAACTACATTTTCAGACCAATTCTTTCACAAAATAAATAATAAAACAAAAGATTCCAGACTTTTTAAAGCAAGGCACTTTCTATTTGTCAGATGTTGTGGATCATGGTTGATAGTTAATGAGATTCTCTACACCTGTGATTCTCTGCTGTGTGAACTTCAGGAGAACTGACTTTTACTGACTTAAAATCATCGAAACACCAGATGATTAGAAGTAAATGATCAAAAATGATGAAGGAAATGAAGCCAGTGAAGAGAAAAGACATTTTTAAGTGTGACTTAATACTTTTTGGAATCACTCTGAACAGATGAATCGTTCAAAAAATAGTAGCAATTTTGATTTTCATATGTCTTCATAGGAATATTTCCCAGGTGAAAAGAAGTGCACTTCCATAATGTACTTAAAGTGCTCTATTTTCATGCACTAATTTTGTGCTTAATATACTAAAAATGATTCTTTAGTACTTCTTAAGGTAATCGTAAAGAATATCTAAGTGTACTCAACTGAGCTATTTTGAGACACCATGTATATGAACTAAAATGTGCTTTAACATACTATCTCTGTGTTAAAAATGTATTTAGTTACCACTTGTAGTACACTTGAGTGTACTTGTGTATAAAAGATGGGTTCAAGTGTAAAATTTAAAATTTAAAATGTAACCCTCAGGCCTTGCATGATGTAGATGAGTTTGCTTCTTCATCGAAACAGAACTGGAGAAATTTAGCATTACATCACGTGCTAATCCACAAGTAATCCACATGACTATAGTCCATCAATTAATGTCTTGTAAAGTGAAAAGCTGCATGTTTGTAAGAAACTAATCCATCATTAAGATGTTTTAACTTTGAACAGTTGCACCATCCTGGACAAAATAGACTTTTAGAAGTTTTGGACTGTTTTCACTTTTAAAAAATCTGTGCATTTCTCTCCTGATTCAGATTAGACTACTTTTTCACTGGAGAAAGTGATATTATGGATAGAGGATTCATATTTTAGTTGGACTGTTTGAAATGGAAAACATCTTGATGGATTATATTACAAACATGCAACTTTTTGTTTCACAGTGTTGATTGTTGGACTGGCGTTGTGTGGATTACTTGTGGATTATTGTAATGTTTTTGTCAACGCTCATTCTGACGGCACCCATTCACTGCAGAGGATCAGTTGGTGAGCAAGTGATGTAATGCTAAATTTCTCCAAATCTCTTCCGAGGAAAAAAATAACTCATCTACATCTTAGATGACCTGAGGTTGAGTAAATGCTCAGCAAATTTTCATTTTGGGGTGAACTTTTCCTTTAAAGCCCTGCTGTTTTTGTTTCGTGCATTTGTTTTATGTAGCAAATAAATAAATAACACCTAAAGTCAGACCATTCTGTTTTAGTTTTAGTTCCTGAAATTAATCAAAATCAAATAAAAAACAACTGCCCGTGCAGATCGTGATTAAAATGCAGTGGTTGCCTCTAATTTCAAATGGCTAGATATTTTTGTTTAAAGCCAGTTTGTTTGTTATAAAGCAAATAGCCAATAAATAAATTTGCTTAAAAATCAGTATCAGTATCAGAATCCAATTTGCTAGTAAAAAAAAAAAAGAAAGAAAGAAAAGAAAATCTGAATTCTGAATCAGCTATGATCGGTGCATCACTAATTAAAATACTAAGTAAAAGGCCTCAAATTTGAAGTACAATCTGGGATGTCTTTTTCTATCAATTCTTCAATAGGTAGATCTTGTCTTTCATAAAGGCCGAGGTCAGGGATCTTGGGCCTAAAAAGGTTGGTGACCACTGCTTTAAAGGGTTTCATAATTTTATGAGGAAGAAAGACTTCGAACAAAACACTTACAAACTTCCTGTTTGTGACCAGGATTGTACTCTCGTTGGTCTCCATGTTAAAGCGGACCACATCACCTTCACGGGTACGATAGAGGAGCTCATTACCTAAAGAGCGGAGATCAGAGGATGAGAGTTAGTGGGATAAAAAGTCAAGGAGAAATTAGTCAGTGACTGTCTTTCAATAATCTAGTCATGAATGTGCCCCTCAACACTCTCTAGCTGTACCAGGGAGACTGACAGTTGAAAAGAAATGATAAAACTTTTCATTTTTGGTTTTCCACATGTGACGATGACTTTGGCAAGGGCATCAGTAAAAGGAGAGGTCTGGAATGCAGCACACAGCCCTTGGTGAGAAGAACGCAAACAGCCCCATCGCCGCTTTTAATTGCGGATTAGGGGAATGGTACGCAAAGGCTTTTTTTTTATCTTGCTTGCATAACTAATCGGTGATAAGAGGTGACACAATTACCATCACAATCACATTAAAGCTAAAGTGGAAGGCACTGAAAGCACTGCAGTTCTAATGGGTCAGATCGCTGAGGTCATATGGAACGCAATTAATATTTTTTTGCTGTAGATACAAAAAATGGATTTACTATGAAGTAAATAATCTGAGATGGATATAAAACATGAGTTGTTTAATGCACTGCATGATGAATAATAATGGCATAAAGTGTTTTTTTTTTCCCTTTAATGGTTGTTGTAATGCTCTGAATGTTAAATGTGCTCATTTTACGGTGATTGTTGGAAGAAAGGTGCCCTTCACTCTGGTATTTCCATGGCTGAAATTGACTGGCGAGCTGATAAGATGCCAGAACAATCATTTGTCGACTTGACAAATTCCTCCTTTCTTGCTCTTCTTCTGACCTGATGTCGGACCGTACGTTTCAGATCAGAACCTCATCAAGCGTCCTCTTCCCCTCTGCTCTCATTCATCTCTCACACTCTATCCATCACACATTCAGACAGGTGTGCTCTAAACACACTTCTCCACATATCATTCATTCTCCGGGACTCCTCTGAGCTCATCCAAGATTTCTAACTGTCCTCTGTTTGAACTGCCTCTCAGTCCCTGTCGCTAGCTCACGTTTTGTCATGTGATTGTGCTCCACATGTGATCTTCTCATGTGCTTCCTTTGGTTCATGTGTTATGTTTTTTATTGGTTTGTAGTCTTGTCAGGTGGATCTCAGTTCTGTCTTGTCATTGGTTCACTGTCTTGATTACTTTCAGGTTTATCTTAGTTATTAGTTCACGTGGATATTTAAAGTTTAAAAGGAAATGACAGTACACTACATTTTAGCTTATAAATGCTTGTCAGTGCATTCAGTTTTTTTTTTTTGAATAGAAGTAATTATGAAATTGCATATAAAGGTGTACCTAAGTCGTACTAAAGAGGATCACAAAAGCACTCTAATGTTTAACTAATTGAATTTAATAAAGAATTTAACTATCATACATTTTCATTTAATCATGGAATTAACATGCAGTTAAGTATTCAAAACATTCAGTTCGCTGAATAATTATTATTTTACATACATACATAGTATATTTTTTTTAAATTACAGCGGGTAAAATAAGTATTGAGCACATCACCATTTTTTCAGTAAATATATTTCTAAAGGTGCTGTTGACATGAAATTCTCACCAGATGTCGGTAACAACCCAAGTAATCCATACATACAAAGAGACCAAAACAAATAAATTAAGTTCTGTGTAATAAAGTAGAATGACACAGGGAAAAAAGTATTGAACACATGAAGAAAGGGAGGTGCAAAAAGGCATGGAGAGCCAAGACACGGGCTGAAATCTATCAGTAATTAGAAAGCAATCCTGCCCCTTGTCAGTGGAAATTAATATTAGCTAGTTCAGTCCTAGCTGATGGCCTATAAAAAGGTGTCTCATGACCAACATGTCACACAAGAAGCATTTCATGATGGGTAAAAGCAAAGCGCTTTCTCAAGACCTACGCAACATTATTGGTGCAAAACATACTGATGGCATTGGTTACAGAAGGATTTCTATACTTCTGAATGTTCCAGTGAGCACTGTTGGGCCCATAATCCGGAAGTGGAAAGAACTTCCATTTCACTATAAACCGGCCACGACTAGGTGCTCCTCGCAAGATTTAAACTCTTCTGATGAAAACAATTATCAGAAGAGTTGTCCAAGTAGTACTCGGGAGAGGGTGCCCTCCGGAGGCCGTCGGAGAGAGCCACAAAGGCCTGATTCATGACAGAGCCCCCCCCCTGCGAGTGGCTCCTGAAGTGAGGAGGTGAACGACGCCGAGGCCTTCCACGGGAGCGAGGGGCTGGTTTGCGAGGATGGGTTCTATGGAATTCAGCAGTGAGTGAAGGGTCCAGGATATCCTGAGAACTAACCCACGATCTCGTCTCAGGACCATACCCCTCCCAGTCAATGAGACATCGTTAATGAAAGCTTGGAAGACTGAAGGACTGTTGACCAGGCCGAACGGCATAACGAGGTATTCATAGTGCCCTGACGTTGTTGAGAAAGCCGTCTTCCACTCGTCTCCCTCCCGAATGCGAATAAGATTGTAGGCGCTGCGAAGGTCGAGCTTGGTGAAATATTTAGCAGTGCGGAGTTGTTCTAGAGCTGCTGGAACTAGAGGTAGAGGGTACCGGAATTTGACTGTCATCTCATTAAGACTGCGGTAATCAATGCATGGCCGGAGACCTCCCTCTTTCTTCTTGACAAAGAAGAAACTAGCTGACGCAGGTGAGGTGGATGGTCTAATGAACCCCTTTGACAGCTCCTCCTCAATATATGCCTTCATGGCCTCGGATTCTGGCTGTGATAGTGGGAAAACTCTACCTCTAGAGGGGTTTGATCCTGGAAGAAGATCGATCGCACAGTCACTGGGTCGGTGAGGAGGAAGTTGTGAGGCCTTGGTCTTACTGAAAGTGTCAGCGAGGTCATGGTACTCAGAGGGTATTCCCGGAACCGGTGAATCCTCTGATATCTGAGCTGGTCGGGGAGATGAGTGCGATAGGCTGGTGAGCAAACAATTCTTTTGGCAGGAGTCTGACCACTGTAGAATCTGTTTAGTGGTCCATGAGATCCGGGGGTTTTGTCTTTCTAGCCAGGGCAGGCCAAGGATGATGGGATTCAGAGGAGAGTCAATAGCAAATAGTCGGATAGTTTCGGTGTGAAGTATGCCAGTTCGTAGACACAGGTCCTGGGTTATGAATTTGATCTGTCCTGTGCCCAGAGGACGTCCATCTAAGGCTGCCACTGCCACCCGGGATTCACATGGAACAAGAGGGAAGTTATGAGTCTTGGCAAACCTTATGTCAATGAAATTCCGCGCAGCCCCCGAATCTATAAATGCTACGGTCTCCGTGCACTTATCATTAACCGTTAGAGCAATGGGAACTTCTAAACAGTTAATGGAATCAGGAGTGGCACTCACCGTAGCGTAACTTCGAGCGGCAGGTCGGGTAGGACAGGAGGCTCTCATATGGCCGGATAGGCCGCAGTAGAGACAGAGACGATTCCGCATTCTTCTCTCTCGTTCC